GTGAGGGGGTGCCATGCGGGGGGGGGGTCACTGCAGTGGGGGGCAGGATGTGTTCCTGGAATCTAAAAGCTCAGGGAACCTAAATTTGGGGGGGGGGGGGGGGCCAGGAAGCATTTTCTGACAGTTAGGACCCTGAGGGTGTGGAATGGGCTTTCACGGGAGGTCATTGAGGCTCCACTGGTGAGGGTGTTCAAGGATAGGCTAGACATGCACGTGGTGGGTATGTCGTGAATGGAGCCAGCTGGAGACAGGGGTCAGACTAGATGGCCTGGGAGACCCCGCCTGACTCGCTTTGTTTCTATGTTTCTATCTTGCTACACTTTAAGAAAGCAGGGATGAGATCCAACTCTGCCCTGGAAATGAAGATGTTCCTCGGCTTTTCTGGAGCTGTGGTGCAGGCAGAAGGGAGATGAACATTCCGTGTGTATATAGGAAAAATATCGGGATTTTTTTTTTTTTTTTTTTTACTCCCAGCCAAAAAATCCCATCCCTTTGCTGAATTTGTGATGGATGTGCCCCACCAATTTTGATAGTGGTTGCCTCCCCCACCTGCCACCGACCCCCCTGGATGCACAGTTCCCCAGAGAGATGCTAGCTCTCCTGTACAGGCTGCCAACCCAGATGCAGGCAGGACGCGCTCCAACGGAGCCAAGCTCAGGGAGCCAAGGTTCCGTTTCGATGCCAGGAAGCACTTCCTGACAGTCAGGACTCCGAGGGATCGTTGAGGCCCCATCAGTGAGGATGTTCAAGGATAGGCTGGACATGCACATGGTGGGCATGTCGTGAGCGCAGCCAGCTGGAGCTAGGGGTCAGACCAGATGCCCAGGAGGCCCCTTCTGACTCGTTCTGCTTCTATGTTTCTATGTCTTTGTGTGTGTGTTTGATAGGGATGTGTGCAGGATCCATTTTGTGCAGAAAATACACCAGATTCCCTGGGATTCCCCTCCCAGACTCTGCTCCACTTTGTAGTGATGAGGCATCTGAGTTCCCAGTATGCACGCCAGGGCCCCCGGGCCTCCCCATGACACAAACTGCACAGGCAGTGCCATTCCTGTGTGCCTGCCATTCCTGGCAGCAGCCAGTGGGAAGGAGGTTGGCCACTGGGAATGGCTACTGGGGAACATGGCTCGCTGGGCAACCGGAGGCCCGTGAATGTTCAGGGACCCCCTTTTAGCTCAGCTCACTTTGCAGGACTGGCTGAGCATGAAGGGAAGTCCACAGATTCAGGAGGGCTTTGTTCCAACCCTAGTGGGGGTTTTGGGGGGGGGGGGGTGAAAAGAAGTTGTGAAGCTGCTGATTTTGATCTGGACTAGTGAAAGAGTCAGAATTTCCCCTCCATCCAGCCATATCTGGCAAAATGGTCCTTCAAATTTCCCTTCCCACAAATAAAAGTGTTGGGGGGGGGGGGTTTAAGGGACCATTTAGTTGTGTTCAGGAGGGCAAAAGGGCAGCCACAGAAGGAAAAAGTTCACGCCATAAAACTGGAGGAAAGGTCAGTGGCCCCATTGGCCCCAAATCTTCTGCCTGGCCAAAAAGAAAACTGGAATATTCATGGCCAAAGGGGGTATTTTGGATCCTGAGTCTACATTTCCAAAAGCATTGTGCTCTTTACTCTTGTGTCCCAATATTACTTTTTCTCCATCCCTCTAATTTATACCATGTGCTTATTTTTTTCGTGTTATATCATTGTCCACATGAACTGCGCATATATAAAGAAACAGGAAGAACATCTGATCCAAACGGAGAAAGGGCTTTTCAATCCCCCTTCGTTTTACTCGTATACCCAGTCCCCTGCTTCTTTTCTTATATAGCTACATGTTCATTAATCCTGATGTATAATCAATATTACAAAGCAATACAAAGTAATAGCAAGAAGCAACAAAGCAAAAAAGGAAAACAACCCATTGTAACATTTCAAATTAATCTGAAACATGCTTCATCTTACTTATTCCTCTGCCATCGCTCTATACACCCCGTTTCAGGCTTGCTGAGATGAGCATCGCCTGTGACTGTACTAATCTAAAAGTTAAAACAAAAATTGCCACAGGTTCGATAATTTCTTGTGGAGGAGCATGTTTAGAGTTTGCTAAGCACAATTGCAATCGCTTTTGTGCAATCTAGCAAGATACTTTCATTTCGACCTTAGGCGGATGGTGAGCAGCCCAGGAAAGGGGGCAGGAGGGGCCTTTCTAGCCACGGAGGGTTGAAGAGAAGGTACATACCAGGAATTAGCGTCTGCCCTGCCCCCAGGAAGTAAAACAGTCTTCAGCTGGTCAGCAGGAGATTTCAAACCATTTCTCAGACACAAAGGCCACGGGGATGAGATGCCGGTCAGAAGAGGAGGGTCTGCAGTGAGCAGAAAAATCGACTTGCGTTTGGCAATGCGCGATTTACAGCAAGCAGGGCCTAAGGACAGCTGCAGCTCAGATCAGCCTTTCTCAGAAAGTATTTCGAGAGCAGGGAGACAAAAGGAAAACTGATGCTCTGGGTGCTTCTTTCCTGGCTTCTGCAGGCCGGGGCTTTCGCCGAGAAGGAAAGGAAGCTTTGCAAACACCTCTCTTGTGTTCAGCTTGCTTCGTTTCAGGTCAGCGGGCTAACCGAAGCCTCCATGGTTGCACTGATACGTGCCCCGAAATAAATACATCTCTTTGATGTCCTGATTTTGTGTTTTCCCAGTGGGATTTGTAGATGCAGCCAAAGCTTGTGTGCAGCCCTGCTGTGGAACCCAGCATATGGCGTGCCAGTGGATTTGGCTATGTGGTGCAAATGAGATTTTCTACCTTTCAGTTTGTTCAGCCAAAAGGTTAATGAAGCTGGGACAGATTTGAAAGAATGGTGCGAAGACCAATAATTCCCAGCAAAGCATCACCTTAAGACGGAAATCCAAATTAGAAAAAAGAATGCAAGGGACCTTTTCCAGCCATTGCATCCCTGCCAGGGAGCAGTGCAGGGAGAGGAGTGTTAATAAAAAGGCTGTTCTCCACAGTGGAAAGAGAGGGCAGAGCAACACGTGCAGCTCAGCACACTCCACCACCATCCCGTGACAGACACTCTGGCCTGGCCTGGCCTGGCCGGGAGGCATGTTAGAAACCCATGAGTAAGACACTCCATAAATGGCTGAACAGTCCTGCCAGTTATCTGCCTGCCAGGAAGCGCACAAGTAGATCTTTCACCCCATGTTCATGGCACCCCTCAGTTTTCTAAGATGCCATCATTATGATTAACAGCTTCATCACTGCATGGGCTGTTTCAAGCTTTTTGGGGGGGTACTAGTTGAAGGGAATTCTGCAGAATTATTGTCCCCTTCTCTTTCTTTAGTTTAGTTTTAAGTTTGGGAACAAAACAACAAAACAAAACATGCACAGGATTATCCCCTGAATTGGATCGCTACTGGACTGCATGCTAAACATGTTTTTCATGTGAAGGTTATTTCTGGTTGCTCCAGTCACTGGCCAGTATCTTCTAACCCAGGTCAGGCTGCTTCAAGCCAAGAAGAGACCAGTGCGGAGCATCTCTGGAAGAATGTGACGTGCGTGTGCAGTGATAGAGTGGCCGCCAGAATGGGGGCCTAACCAGAACGTTACCTTTGCAGCCCAGTTGCTGTTCTCCAGTGTGGAACTCGCATGCTGCACCCATAGCATGAAATCCGGGACTGTCTGAATGCTTCTGCAGTGGTGCAGCAAGACAGTTTTGGCCCAAGACGCAACTGTGTCATGGCCCCCAGCCTTGAGAAGGCTATGTAGGATGTACTGGAACTGGAAAACCCAGCTCTCTGGGGTTAGTGGACCACCTGCCCCCTTCGGGTCTGATGAGTTGGGGTGCAGGGTGGATGGATCTCTCCCTCTTAGGGCCCACGATGTGCATGTTGCAAAGAAATTTGTGCAACGAACACCTGAACACCACACAGCTCCAGCGTGCCTTTGGCAGAACTGGCTGGTGCAGAATCCATCCAATTACCGCCCCCTACTGGATTTTCCATACAAGCCTCTGGGCATGTTTCATATTTCAGCTCTGATGTTTGTTCTCAGCTTGCCTTTCTTGCCTGATTATCTGCAGCTTTGCATTTTAAACTGACTTCATCGTGACACCATCATGTCTACTGGAATAAAATGAAATAAAATGCAGGGCCATTCTCTGGGCCTCAGAGCCCACGCCTTTGCCCCCAGTCTGCACCACAGTACTTTGCATGGGAAATAAATTGGTCCCTAAAACCTCATTATGAGGAATTCCAAAATTTTCAGTGCAAAATGGGGGTCATCCACGGAGGCAGGGAAACAACACTGCAAAGGTAATATATAAAGTGGACGTAAAAGGAAACCTGGTTGGCAGGGGGTCACCTTCGGAGACCTTTCAACATTGGGCAATAGAAAGCAAATGTTCTATAAAAAATGGAGGAAGTGGGGCTCAGCTATGCCAAGCAGCACCCAGTCCCTATGACTGCAAGCACCTGGCTGAATCAGTGTTTCCTGAATTTAGGCTAGGAAGGGATTCCAGGGAGGGTCTAATGCCTTCCCTCACAACTGCTCCTATCTGCATATGGAGGCACATGACTCACACTTCAAACACACACACACAGCAACACCACAAAGGTCCTCAGAGACAAGTGCAGTTGGGCCGTTAGGGGTGGAACAACCTTTCATGGGGGAAAGGGGGCGTTTTGTTAACAATCAGTCTTTTATCCATGGGCTTCCCAGGCAGAAAATAAATGTGCAGAGCTCTGAACTCTCCACGTTCCACATTTTATGTCTTCCCTGCCCTCCCATGCCTAATATGATGTGATTGCAAACTGGGGCAGGGAGCTTTCAGCCACTTTTGCATTCACCATATTATTTGCAAGACTTGGCATAACACAGTTAGAATGGCAGGACCAAATCTTGTGTGTGCGCATGCATGTGATGTCCAAGATCACCACGGAAATCCCATACCAGTTGAGGGAGAAAAGGAAGAAGCTGGAAGATTTTTCTTGGAGGAGGGAACACGACAATGTCACAACTACCACCGCACTCTGCTCAAGGTTGTGTGTCTAATGCAAATGTCTTCTCTTGAACATTAATTTATCACAGCCCGGAGCATCTCACACAAAAAAGTGTGATCTGATGAACTGGGTTCACACAGAGAAGATGGACCATGGCTTCCTTTTACGAGCTCCCAGCAAGCAGGCTAAAGCAGGAGTGTGGGAGACCTGAAAGCCATTTTCCCCGGCCACGGAGCCCTCCTCCTCCCTTCGCAGCTCATGCAAACTTCCTCCTCCTGCTGCACTGGGGGAAGGACTATATCTCTGATTCGGCATCTTTCTTGACAGCAAGATCTGTATCACCGATCTGCCACCCAAACCCATTGTACTGCATTCCAGGGTACTAAAACAGTTAAATTTAGCTTTCTATAAACCTAAAAGCCACCCTGTTTGCTCCAGTAGCTGCTGCAGAGTCTCAATTTTCCTTCCAAAACAATATATATGTTGCTGGGGGGAGTGCGAGCCAGGATTGCTTATGAGTCACGGGCTGTGCATCGCCCAGTCCAGGACTAGAGGAACCAACTTGGCTGTGGGGAAGTGGGAGCTTGAATCTTGTTTTGTGTTTTCATCTCTAGTTTAGGGACTTGGGGCTGTCCTCCCCATCCAAGGGCCAGTCAGTCAAGGGAAGGCCACTGGGAATGGCAGCTCCTAACCACGTGGCCAAGACCAGTGCCACCTTCGCTCTGCACTGACTCAGTAAGTGAGCACCTCGTTGCTCAGAGTAGTCTATAGGCTCTGAGTTGCAACAAACGACATGTGAGTCTTTGAGTTGCCTCCTGGCCTTGTGCCTGTTAAAGATTTATCTCTGGAGGAAGAGCCTGTTGAGGACCAAACTGGATCAGCCATCCATGGTTTTATAACGATGCTGGGGGGATCATGGGGTGCATTTCCTTGGTCCCATATGAAGTAAATGCCCCTGGAGCAACTCTGATGGTGTGACAACCAGTGGAATTAAGAGAATGCACATGTGGCCTGACCCTGCCTGAAACCCCGAAGGCTGTGATTACTAGCTCTTGCCTACAGAGGCAGGGCGGTGTGGGAGCAGCCGCCCTGCAGGGCCGGGTAGGAGCAGCTCTCTTCTGATGCTGGTCCAGTCACATAATCAGGTATCCATGCCAGGCAAATGAATGAGCCACATACAGACAAGCGGCGAATCTACGCCTGCCTTACCTATTTCCATTGAAGGAGGTCTTATAATCCCCCGGTGGAAGCATCGCCTCTTCCGCGTACACGGGCACAGGGGCCCTCACACACTCGTGGGAGCACTGCAGCGTTTCATTGTAGGCGGTGAATATGTCCAGGTTGCTGGGCACTCTGGCCGGAGTGAAGTCTGTCAGGTTCTGGCAACTTTCTTCCTGCTGGTTGATCTTGCGCTGGTGGCCATTCCTTCTCGTGTTCCCACTTTGCGCGCAGCTGTGGGGGGAAGGCAAGGAGGCGGATGAAAACAAGGGTGGCCAACTGAAGGGGCTCCGGGGTGACGCTGGGCTCCAGGGCGACCCCCGCAGGGTGGGGGAGCCCTGCATGGCAACTCTGGGTCCCTGGGGAGAGAAGTGGCCGTGGCGGCGCGAACAACAGGGAAACGCCTCGTTCCCTGGAAGAGAGCCAACGACGGTCCATTGATGCTATTGCCAGTGGTTCGATAGTTAATCGTTACTCAGAATTATCTGATAGACTTTGGCCTCAATCAAGCAATTTCGTTTCAGAGACATTTTATGCCTAAGCCAATTCATTAATTAATAATTCATAATACGAACCAATTATTTAGTTAATAATGGATGTTACATGGAGAACTCAAGTGTGCCAGTTTTGTACTGACAAAGGCTGCTTTTAACATGCTTAACACATTTTCCTGCTTGTTATAAGCTCAATTTCTCCGTTTTACTAGAGACATGATTACTTCTGTTCTATTACTGCTCATCTACTTCACTCCACCTTGGGTTCCAACCACCCCCCATGAATTCTCATTTAAGTAGGGGAAATGCGAATTTATTCCAGGATTGGTACAGGTACGGTGTGGCTCTGTTTTTGCGTCCTTCTGTTCACATTCTTCCATTTTATTTCCCTGCCTTACGGAAGCTGCCAAATGGAATCATTGAACAATGCAAAAAGCAGCCAACACAATCACGGGCAGATGGTGCATCGAGGCATCTTACGTGGTGCCTTGTTGGAGGCTTGTGCCCTTGCAACATTCATGAAACACCACACAAAAAAGATCTTGATACAACCACACTTACAATAGCACATCACTATCCGTGTTTTGTTTCTGTGACACATGCAGGTGGACAAAGAGACCCATAACATGCTGCTCGAAAAGAATGTGGATGCGCTGTCACCACTTTTTCTCTTTTGCAATGCCTCATCAATGTGCGCATCAACACCCGGGAACACGGGGGAGGGGGGCAGGGCAGAAGTCCACAGAAAACTCCGTGGAATGGCATTTGCATGGCTACTATAAACGTGTGTAAATAAATACACAGCCCAACAAGAGGCGATGAATTCAAGATGGATGGGTTACAGTCATGTGCACATTTTATTCATATTTTAGTTCTATCTTTTCACATTTTATCTCTATATTTTATTTTTGCATTTGATTGACGTCCATTTTCTGCTACACCCAATCGCCAACGCATTTGAGTGGTTCGTATGCCCCCATTTATAAGTCTGTCCTAATTCTTCATTACTCTGAAGTTGGTTTTTTTAATCTACATTTAAACACATATTGTGATATGTACTTTAACAAATTTTCTCTGAGAATACACATTTCCTAAAGCACCGAATCTACTTTGGAAATAAGGCAATTGTCCTCTCCATGATCCGGGGAGAACGCCAGATGCAGATAGTCTGGGAGGCTCTGCAGGCAATCAAGCCGGAGCGGTGTCCCCCAGCGCCTCCATCCTCAGGCACAAACCCAGTCGGGTCGTAAGGAATGGCACGGCCGTGCGATCCCGCCGTGGGAGTGAGACCACTTGCCCAAGTGTGCATGCCTAACCTCATGCCCTGCACTCCTTACGCAGCACCTCACTTACAATCTGGGTACGGTGCATCCTATGGCCCCTGCCATCTTCGGCCTGGGGGGTCTGTGGGCTTATGGGGTCCCGGCTCCAAGGCCCCCTGGCCTTAGAAGCTGGGACTCAGGGCCCCATCCAGCCAGTGCAGAAAGAGCCGTGCGGCCCACGTCTTTGGGAAATGACCTCGGGGGGCGGGGGGTGCAATGGCAGGCAGGGAGAGGAGACGTTCAAATGGCACCCGGCTTCCTCCTCCACATCTAGAAGGCCATGAGTGGGACGTGGAGATTGCCCCTGCTCTGACCTGGGTGAGCAGAAGCTTGAGGGCTCGGGGTGTGCATCAAGGACAGGTGTACCCCTAATTGCTTAAAAATCCTTGCATCTGAGCAGGAAATTATGGCTCTGTTCAGGGCCAAGGGATTTCTTCAGGACGGCCTTTCGGCTCCTGTTCTGGCCAAAGTTTATTATCCAACTCAGAACTCCCTGAACTGAGAGTGGACTTGAATGCCGTTTGAAAGGCCCTATCGGGTGTTTGCCATTGGTTTCTAAGCATGCAGTGCGGTTTGGGTAACAGACTGGCTGTACTGGCACAATTTAGGAACAAGTCCACACTGTGTGCGTGCATGATTGGGGACAAAACTGTGTGCAGTGGGAAAATGAGCACAGCTGTCCTCAAAAACTGCCTCCTGGGCCATCTAGTCTGACCCCTGGCTCCAGCCGGCTCCGCTCACGACATGCGCACCATGTGCATGTCCAGCCTGTCCTTGGACACCCGCACCGACGGGGCCTCAAGGATGGCGCTCACCCAGTTCCTCCTAAGTGAAACACGCTGCCTCCACACACAGTGAAAGGAAGCGCCTGTAATGTGTAATGTGTAATGTGAAATGAAATGAAATAACTCTTCCGCAATGTGAAATGTTCTATTAATTCCAACCTGGAGAAGCCCACTGCACACAGATGCCTGCAGAGCATGGACTCATGCAGTGATGCAGTGGGAGCCTGACGGAGGCTATTTTTTCTGTACTTGAACTGGGAGAAATTGGATGATCCAGTCACAAAGATACAAAAAGACTGCCAGGCCACACGAAGAGAGAATGGAAGATGTAGGAAAGAAGGAAAACTAGGGGCATGGCTCATAAGAGATGCAGCAAATTATTTGGACTCATAGACAATTACCATATTCCACAACTTCGTATTCATGACAGGCTGAATCTGCAATGACAAAGGTTCAGATGTGGGAGAAAGCCGTGCAGGGAGACGTGCCCAGGCCTGCCGGCATCAGGTCTCTCCTAATGGTTCGCTAACGTTTGCTGCCCTGCAATCCCCACCTGGGTTTGGATCCTGCCCACTGCAGCGACAGAGCACAGGCAGGCCTCATCCCTTCCTGGGCCCTTTCTGGTGGGGGCCAATGCTCTGATATGGACAATGTCCCAGAGACTTATTTATTTAAAGCTCTTATATCCCGCCCTTCCCAGTGTCTCAGGGTGGTCTTGCAGGTGGCAACACCTCGATTTGCTGGCCAGTGTCCCCAGGGTTCTCTGAGTAGGCCCTCTGCTGGGAATTTCCATAGCCCTAACAAAGGGCTTCTGGAGTATCTGCATTGGCTCCATGCTGGGTTTTGTCTTTAATCTTATTCGACAAGCAATGGGGTGGGTGGAATTTTGCCAGTTTACTCTCTGTTTCTGTATCAGATCTGGGCACACCACCTGCGGTAAGCCTCAGAACCCCCCAGGAAAAGGATGAGCTGAAACGCCACCGCAAACGATTTAAAGCTTTTAGGGAACATATTTTTAGCAGGCAAGAGGCCTGGATGCTCTTTCCAAGGAAAGCAAAGCTGCACAGCCCTGGAACTACTTCCTGTCTCCCAGAGGTGCCATCGCATTATTACAGTGAGAAAAAGCTGACCTCAAAGTAGGTCAATTTGAAGAGGAAAATAGGTAAAGGCAGGAATGCCTGAAGCGACAACGTAACCCATTTCACTATATGAATTGCTGATGGGGAAGAAGAAAGGAGAGCAAATGGGGCCGGATGTAACGCCGGAGCTCAGAGGCAGGGAGTAGGGCAAACAGGTCCATGCGTTCCCGGCCTCCCGAGCTGATGCCCCTCACCTTTGCAGTAGTTCTTTTGAGCTCGTGTGCCACAAGAGAATGGCTGATGTGGCAAGGAGAAACGCATGCGCCCGGCAATGAACAAATACCCCGAGAACATGCAGTGGAGCCCGTGAGTCTGTGCCACCACGTCTGCTTGATGCCCCAAGCTTTTCCCCTGGCTTCCTTCCCCTTGGGGCAAGGCAGCGCTGCAGGTGGTGAGGTGCCCCAGCTGCTTCCAGGAAGAGCGACGGCAGACGGGCCTACTCTCTGAGGAGGCTGCCCACTGCTTCTCTGCATGACTCATCACGTCTCTGCATTCATGCAGATTCCCTGGCTATGCAATCAATCAGCCTTTTAATAGCAGCAAAAACTATTCCTACCCCTGGAGGAAGAGATCTGGATATCGTGAAAGCTTGCAATCTTTTCTTCCTCACCTTAGGCGTGACCTAAAAAAGTGATTATACTATAGTTTTGGAACTTTTCTTACAACCAAGGACCATGTGCTGTGCAAGCTGCACCCCTCTGAAGCCCACAGAAAAGGAGCTGATATCGTCCAAACGAAAGAAAGCAGGAGAGGTTTTGAGCTCCAACAAGCCAGACGTTCCAGCATCAACCGGACATCTCAGCCATGTCAGTGTCCTCCACACCAAATTCTTCCCCAGCTGGGGCATGGGGAGTTGGACTCAGGCTCTGCCTCTGGGTTGCTGCTCTCCCAGTGGAAGCATACATGTTTACTCTTATAGGAACATTAGAAGGCATCTTATGCCATTTGAGGCAGGCCATCTCGGTCAACCAAGGCTGGCCCGCAGACAGCGACACTTCCCCCATTCCATGAGTAGAACCATTTGGCTCTGAGTGTAAAAAGTGCCTGCGGTTTTATTTGAGAAAGAAATCCATGAATCCACAATTCAAGGGTTTAGAAAATCAAGCCATAGGAAACAAAGCACCCACATATTAAAGAGCAGAGGAAGTCACAACAGTGTTCCAAGCAGGTCGGTGCCACCAGGCAGCTGTGGCTGTGCCAATGGGTGGAATGGAGCAAGGCCAAGAAAATACTCAGAAGAAAGTGAGGGATTACTTGCAGCAAATGGTGAGAAAGCTGCAAGCTACACAGCATCTCTTTCATTTGTTTTCTCCAAATTACTTTTCATGGAACTTTGGGAGAACCTTCACTAAGCTTTCAAAATGTAAGGATGTCATACATTTCAATTAAAGTAAACATTATTTATTATTTATTTATTAAAACATTTCTATGCTGCCCCATTTGCCGAAGCCTCGGGGCGGCTCACAACATAAAGTGTAAAGTCTATGTCCTTTTTTTGAGTCTCTTTAGCACAGTCTCAAGAAGAAAATGTTTGGGTTGCTGAAATCAATCCAACCAATGTAAAAATGCACACAAAAGAAATCCTTTGTTGAACTGGTGTTGCACAAACCTGTTGCTTGCCTAGGCTAAAGAGAAATGTGCTTTCTGCTGGGCAATGAGAACTGTTTCTCAGTGAGAACTGTTCTCAATGAGAACATCATGTGTGATGCATGCTGAACAATTTATTTAGGTATTTATTATATTTATATCCCACTTATTCCTGCAAGGAACCCAAAACAGTTTATAGAATCCTCTTCTCCTCTCCCTTTTATCTTCAGAGGCTAGTCTTCTCCTGCCACACCCTACATCCTTCCAAGAGCCAGTCTTTATTACACCAATGGCAGCCAGCTTTGTGATACGAAAGAAGAGCGTTGCAGAAGTCATTTAACAAAATAAACCAGCTAAGTTAGAATGGTGGTTCTCAGGGAAATAAAGCTTATGCAAAGGAGTTGGTTCTGAAATGAAACCCTCTCTTCCTTTTCCAACCAAAAAGAATTGGCTCCATCCTCAGGGAGGTTTCTGCTGCTTGTGGGCCAGAAGGTGGCCTATGCAATGAACCAGAAAGTATTCAATCTGAGGCCAACCACCTGTGCCAACCATGGTACCCACTAGCTCTCTAGACAATTGGTTCCATTGTTCAACTGTCCTCATTTACTAGAAGGTTCTTCCTAACAGCCAACATAAATCTGCCTTCCCGTAACATAAGCTCATTACATCTAGTCCTCCAGGGCACCCAAGAGCAAGTTTGTTCTCTTTTCCGTGTGACAGCCGTTCACCTCCTCAGTCATCTCTCCTCCCCGATGAACAAGTTCTTTAAGTCTCTTCAGGTTTTCCAAAATACTGTTTTCAAATCAAAGTTGGTTTAACTATCCTTCTTGCCCTCATTTCAGAACCTGTTCCAATTAGTCTACCTCCTTCTTAAATTGTGGCACCAGAAATGGACATTTCACTACAGACGAGGACTGATGAGTGTGGACTACAGTGGAATAGTTCCTTGCAGCTTGGAAACCCTGGTTCTATTAAGGCAGCTAGAATACACTTCCACCTGCCTTGCACCTACATCATGTTGCTGCCGAGTGTTCAACTTGTGACTCTCTACCCAGTTCCTGCACACTAGATTGGTTATGCAGAAGCTTTTGATCCCACAGACTTCTTTAGATGTTGGGAGGGCCTGCAGATACACGTATCCATGCAAATACATGCACAGCACACGCATTCACACACAACTCAGGCACAGTTTTCTCACATTCATTCACCCCATCAGTCAGAGAACTTGGTCTCGTAGGAGCAGGATCGAGGCTCTGAAATGCTCTCTCCATTTCATCCTTGGCATATGTGCCGCCCAATGAACCACCAGGAAAATGCACCACCAGGAACAGCCTCTGTGGTCCCTGACATGCATCAGGAGCCCGACTCCTAAAGCACGCCAGCAAATAAGCAGGAACCATCACTTCTCCTTGCGGTGGGCTAGGAACAAGGGTGCTCCCCATTGTTCAGTGCAGCAGATGCAGTGTGTGGGTGAGAAAGGGCAGGCTTTGGGAAGGGCAAACGTCTGGTATCCATGCACCAGGATTGTAGAATAGCGGAGTCTGAAGGGGCCCACAAACCCATTGGGTCCAACCCGCTGCAGGCACAAGGTGGACGCTTCCATAGCTTGGCCAGTGCAGCATCAGCGGGGGGCACATTTGACAAGGAAAAGTGGGAGGAGGAAGCCAGCCTGCAGGCGTCTGCACGCACATCCTGTCCATGGAGCAATGCTGCTCGGCTATCTAGGGTCCCACCTCCCTCCTAAACAGGCCTCCTGGAAACCCAGCCTGCACCCGCCTCATTCCCACTTCAGTCCAGGGCAGCCAATTGCCATGAGAGGCGACGGAGAGGCAAACGTCACCAGGTAAGACCTTCCAGCCTTCTTGCAAACGGATGGGTGTGGGCTGCTTGTTTCACTTCCTTCTCTCCCTGGTCGCGAGGACACGTTGGCAGTGGGTGCAGTTAGCTAGGCCACCTGTCCTGGTGACTGGGGACTCCTGAGGTTTGCTGTTCAGGGCAGTGGGACCAGGAGCACCACATCTGGGGCTAACCTACAGCCCTTGCCCAGTTGCAAAGCCTTGGGATAACAGGGCGAGTGAGCTCTCCTTTTTGCTTCAAAAATAAAGTGCAGTAGAATAATTTAAAATGCTCCTCTACCCTCTTTCCTTGGCCAGGGACCGTCTCAGCTGAAATGGGAGTGAACTCGCTGCCTGGCATATACAAAAATCAGTTTCCAAAGAGTTATTTTTGCAGATCCTGTTAACATTTGAATCAAAAGGTTCACGCCACCACCTGCTCTCTCTTCTCTCCACCAGTTTTGCTGGCAACCTCTCCCTTTGCTAAATGTATTCCAACATCCGCTGGGACCCCCACTGTGCTCCAATCCATGGGCTGGATGTTCCTTACCAATTTTTTAAGACGAGCGTCGTTATCAGAGCGGCAATGACCATGATGAGAGAGACGGTGATGGTAATAATCTGATGGACAGCCAGACCTGTAGAGGAAATAAAAATAAAGGAAGAATGGAGATGCGCACTGGAGGCAAAAGAAAACCTGGGTATGCAGTGAGTGAACCAAACAGTCTTCCCCAGGAAGGTGGAGTGACAGGTCTTGCCTTCTGGCATGGGTCAGCCATCGGGAGCACTGCACCTCAGCGCTCCCCGTGGGCCATGCAAGGAGGGCAGCACATCTCTTTCGTCCTTTCTGGAGAAGCCCTGAGGGCAGCCTGCCACCGGTGGACGGGTCCAAGGGCAAAAGGGTGGGGCGAAAAGCAGAACCAGAGGACAAATATATATGTCAGCCTTAAGCTCGTAGTGGAGGAGACTAAAACCTAGGAAAGGCAGATCAGCTGGGGAAATGCAGAAAACCCGGGAAACCACTCGCCCCCCCCCCCCCCCCCAGGAGGTGAGAAAAGAGCATCTCTGGCAGGGGAACCCCAGGGGATGAGATCCACTGGCTGGGCTGAGGCCCTGGCCCCCCGCTTCAAAAAGGGCAGGGCCATTCGCCACGAGTGTCACATGGCTGTGGTATCAAGCCTTCGCCACCTTGGCATTTCATCCCTTGGAGAAGTGACGGCTTCTCGGAGGAGAACAGGGGAGATGATTGTTCTACTAGCTGCTGGTGTTACAACTGGTCAGACATGGCAAGGAGCCCGGGAAACAAGTTGGCCTCTGATGGATGAAGTCACAGCACCTCTTTGCTTTAGCCTGAGCAATTCCCCTCCTCGCTGTGCTTCCTTGCTGGAGTCTAAGAAGTCGCAGCGTTCCCCTAAAGCCACCTACCACTTTCCTTGCCCTCTCAGCTGGGTGCTTTCACTCAGCCAGTGGCAGCCTTCACACACTCTCTGCAGCTGCCTGAGGAAACACCACACATCTTTATTCCTCTCACCCCCCGTGCAGAAGAAGGAAGCCCTCTGTTCATTTCTGTTTGCTCATTTATACATTTGCAACATTTCCATACTGCTCTGCATCCACGCAGGCTTCCAGCAGTCAACAGCAGCAGCAGCAACAAGGCTTTCGCCAAACAGTCACAGCTCCCACTCCCTGTCCCCCCTCAATGACCTGGAACAATGAAGGTGTGGAGGATGGGAAATGCTGGCCAGTTTGCCAACAGTCATGGCCATTTGCAGCAACTGGGCATCCTCCCCCCATCTATATGGGGAAAAAGGAGGCAGTTGCACTACTGCTAATGCCACTGGCTGGAGAAATGCCTCCCCTGTTGGAGGATGTCTCCTCTCTCCAAAGAGATTCCGTGAAATGCACACACAGAGCACACAGCTTTCTCTGCCATTCGTGTGCATCCTTGCTCTTCCCCCGAGTTCTTCCTCCAACCTCCACACCTCCAGTGCTCCTCTGGACTTGCCATTTAGAACCAGCCGATCCCCTTTGTTCGCCTGAGCTACATCCCACCCTTTCCCTTACGAATGGCTCAGAGAGGCTCACGTCATCCTCCTGCTGCTGCTCTCAGTCTTATCTTCACAACACCTCAGTGAGGCAGGCTGGGCTGAGAGCCTGTGACTGGCTCAAAGCCACCCTGTTGGCTCCATGGCTGGGCTGAGCAGGGACTAGAACCCGGATCGCACGCACTCCAGACCTGCGCTCTTAGTCACTACTACACGCTGGCACTTGTGAGTCTCGTTCTTGTGCGCAAGCATTTCTGGATGCAAGACCCTTGCTTTGTCCCATCTGTTAATTTATTAATTTCTCAATTTTAGCATATATATTGAGCCTATTAGTTATTGACATATCCAATAAGCAGGCCAAACAAAAGTAAGAAAAAAACAAGGCCATCTATGGGTGTTAAAAATAGGGTCTAGATGGCCACAGGAGTTTTTGGATTCTGAACCAAAGACCGGAAACTCCCTGGCAATTCCTACCGCTGTTTGCAGCCTGCGCAGGAGGAAATGCTTGCAGTGAAGGGGGCAATTCCGGAGAAGGGCTCTTGTGGGCTGGGGGAGTGGGCAGGAGAGACGATTGCCCCGCCACCTCCTGGAGTGGCTCAGCCAGCTTCCCTCCTGCTGCACGTGGTGGGGTAGGGCAAGACTGGACCTCAGCACGCTCTGCAAAGGCTGTCCTCACTTCTGCCCCATACTAGGATGCCAAGCACAGGAGCCCCATTCAGAGCGCTGCATTGCATCGCCGTACGGTTATGCCCCAAGATACACAAGACACCGGAAGTCACAAGATGAATTGGAACGCAATAACATCAGGGTTGAATAGTAGTCAAACGCCACTGCTAACTCTGACAAAACTCTGCTGCCACGTCCCTCATCCCTAATGAAGCCCCAAGTGCACCTCGCACATGGCCAAGCCCCTCTGGTCCCTGGGCTGGGGGAGCTGGAATCACAACAGGATGAGGCCTTCTTCTGGGAGCTGCCATGCATAGATTGTTCAGGAATTTTTCCCAAGCAGTAATAGGTGGAACTGTTCCCTAAACTGCCCAGAGTTTCAGCAGTATAGAAATGAAAATAATAACAACAAGAATAATGGAATAGGTAAAAACCTGGTCATGTGGTACATACCTCGTAAAGAATCTCTCTCCAATCTTTAGTTCTGTAAGTACTATAACACACCTGATGCAAGGATATGTGTCCAGGATATGTAGGAGAATGGCATCTTTGAGTGCATGGATGCCATTAGGGCTTTCCAAAATATCCCCTTCTTCCAAGACCCATTAATGCCCTCTTTTATTAGGTTAAAGTTGACCAGCCAGGATTGATTTTGTGATGCAAAGGAGTGTAATATGGAGGTCACCATCAGGAGACACCTATCAGGTTAACAAGTTCTCTCATTGTGGATGTGGATTCTGCCCAAACCATAATTTGGTACAAAACTGTATTCCTCTCTTCCTTTTTCCACCAAAGTTGGCTCCACCCTCAGGGAGGTTCACACTGCTTGTGAGCCAGGCAACAGGGACTCTCGATGTTGCTTAATTGGCCTGCTCATTTGATCTGGTGTCACTGGGCTGTATGTTGGGAGAGGTGGGTCCTACACATTTCCAGTGGAAAGGGAAATTGGGCCCACCTTATGTCCTGAAGTAGCAATGTCGGCAAGAACACACTGTAAAGGCCTTGACAGACCAACGGCCTGACACAGGGTACCATTCTTCCTGATGCTCACCAAGTGATGCTAGCGAGCAGACAAGAAAGAGAGGACACAGTTCACAGCTGCAGGAGATGTAGGCATTGACAGTTGATGGCTGTTGTGACATGTCTTCACTTCCAAGGATGGATAGAAGAAATGTCATAACAAGAAAAAAGCTATTGTGTCGCTTGTATTTTCCTCTGTCATGCAGGAGTCGGCTGCTATTGGCAACACTCGTCCGTGTTGATTAACGCTCGTTTGGGCTATCAGTGATACCATTTCTTCAGCTTAAAGCACACACGTGCAGCAGTCTTGTTCCAGGTGAGTGCTAGAACCATGCCCAAACCTCCACTACTTTGATAGGCAGGCTGAAGCCAACAGGAAAGGTTCCCCCTTGCCCCCAAATACTTTGTGAATATTCACCATTTTTTGATTTAAGACTCTCGGGCAAAAGACATACTCATCCCTACTTGGAGATGCCAGGGACTGACCCCGCACATGCAAAGCAGAAGCCTACTGCCGCATGTCCTGAGCATGCACAGATGTTTCAGAATCCGTTCTACTGATACTGTACGGATTGTCAAGCACCTCCTTATGGTCAGAAATGGGTGTTGTGCAAATGTGCTTTCACACATTGATGCAATTTTGCACTTCTACAAATGCACACTCTCCCAGCAAAATGTGCACTCCCCTGCACTAGGCTCATTTTCACACTGCAGCCTACTGGAGAAATGCACCTCTGGGTTGTTTTAAATATATTTTTTCCTATTACAAAAATCACTTAAAATTATGATAAAAACTGATCTGCAAGTCCCTGAAGCCTGTGCAACCCATGAAAAGCCAGGCTGCTGCAGCATCCAATCACCACAAATATACGAGGAGGAGGAGGAGGAGGAGGAGGAGGAGGAGGGAGGTGGAGGAATCTGGGCTCCTTTGAATCCATGGCAGATTCTTCTGGCATCCTCTATGAACCTTCTCATGCCCCACTCAGAAATGCATCCTGCACAGGCCTGGCCTTGGTGAATCACACCGCAAGTGACTCATGCCAATGGAATGTTTCCAGGAGAGAGAGAGAGAGAGAGAGAGAGAGAGGATGAGTGCAGGGCCAGTGGCATCACAGAGCCTGGCCTTCAGCAACAGCCCTGATGATGGGCAATGTCAGTAAGACGGGGGCCTGCAGTGGAGGCCAAATTTGCCACCCTGAGAGCCCCACGATGGGCCTCCAAGGCTCCATGGAAGGACACAGCTGCCTCCTCCAGTGTCACCCCCTTTCTCCCAACTTCCCCCACTTTTGGGCTTGATCCTCTCCATTCAAGAAGAAAAGGTGCATTAATCCCCCAAAGGCTTAATCCCTGGCAGGGAGAGCTTCAAGCAAACATGTGCTGGACACTTTTGCATCATGGCTGCACCCAGCCCTGCCCACCCCTACAAAGTGGGGTGGGAAGGGCTACAAAGTGTCTAGGGGCCAGACTCCCTGGGGCTGAGTCTGGCCCCTAGACAGAACGAGGTTTTCTGCCCCTGATGCCAGCAAGCAGCAGCAAAGAAAATACACACTCGAGGCCAAGAAATGCCAGCGAGCCGAGATGCCTTTTAGGAAGCACAGCAAATCCTGCCAAGACACATCCAAAATATCAATCAAAGGCTTGGAGGCACCAGCTCCGGCAGCCTCCTGCAATACAGCCAAGGGCACCTTTCCTCGCATGAGTCACTGAGACGGCCGCTGCCAAGCTGCTCGGGCAACGAGAGCCTGAGGGTGGGCAGGCGCCTGCTCCCCTCACTCTCCTCCAGGACGCCTTTGCCAGTGTGCAGAGAGCAGAGGAATCACCCAGGGCCGCGAGGGACAGGACAGGCTGGTGTCGAAGAAGCCCCTGCTGTGCACCACAGTGGCCAACACGGGCGGAGCTGGCTCCTG